ATATCATTATGCTAAAAAGAGGAATGCCCCTTCTGTGTGAGAAATACCACAGGACTTCCTGGAAGAGAAAAGCACATTAGAGAGCTCAGTATTTGAATATTATCTTCAACACTGCTTATGGGACTGAAATCTGAAAATATTATATCTCCTATAATGATATCTTGTAAATTCCAGGAATGAAGTATGGAAGATAAGTGTCTGAATTCCAGTTCTTAGTGAATTTTCAGTTATGAATAAGCCAAAATATCATTATAAATACCACCATCTGATAATTGTTTTCATTGTTTTTTTTTTACATCATAGGACTCTCAAGTTGAAAATAATAACCATGCAACTTTTTAAGCTAGGATATTTCTATACATGAGAAATGGAAAACAAGAAAGCACAAATCATGCAATGTGATAAAAAAGATATATGTTTATGCAGCTGTAAAATCAATAAGGCAATTGCCAAATCAAACAGACACTACACCAAATGCTAAATGTTGGATGGTGATTCGGTCAATAAATTGAAAATACTAGGAATTTTAAAGTTCATGCCACACAGTGGAAATTACCAGAAGTCTATTTATCCAGTTAAAAAAAGTTTAAAAACTAAAAAAAGGACAATAGGCTCTAGAGTAGATGCAAATGATAATCAAAAAATATTAGGCATCACTGAGAGGATTGAAGTAGCATTACCTCTATTGGCAAAGCAGGCCATCCTTCCAAATCCATTGGTCTACTATTTGGATGTTGACCGACGGGCCTAAATGGACTGTCTGGCTCAAGTCTTTCATGATCCATGAAACCTTGATTGAAGCCCGACATACGTCTGATTTCTGTTATGCCACAATAGAAATTGAGAGAAACTAGAGAGCTCAAAAAGATGCAAAGCAAAAGTGGTCTACGAGTGTCTCCTAAGATATCCATCAAGTGTTGCATAATGAAAGGTATGTAGAAAAAAAAAAATGAATTGAAGAATAACTATTTACATGATTTCAAGCAGAAGCAGCGATAAATTATAAATTAGAGATGGAATAAATGATTTGAATAGATGATCTAGAAATACAAACCTTGAGTTAAAAGCTTAGTGCACTGGGGCAAAACTTGCACGAATGGTCCCAATTTCTGTCTCTCTGCAAGTAGTTCAGCCATGTATCTGAAAATAAACAACAACAAAAAAATTACAATGAGTTTGATTATGCATCCGATGGAGCGGAAGTAGGTTAAAAATAATAGTGATAAGAATAAAAAGGGTACCTTTCGCGATCTGAGGGAATAGGAATAGGAATAGAGGGAGAGCGAATAGGAGATGGCGGAGGAGGGAACTGGAAATAACTCCCACTCCCATTCCCACTTCCGCATGGGATCCTCTCTCCCATCGACTCTGCAACGAAAACCTAACTGAGTTAGAGAGAGATTGACGAAGAAAATGATGTGCGAGAGAGAGAGAGAGAGAGAAGCTTACTGAGAGTGGAGAGAGTCGCAGCAGCGAAAAGCCCTACCAGTTATCACAATCACAACAACCACACCAAGAGCCCGACAAACACCAACAACACAATGCCCCCTATCTCTCCCTATTATATATTATATACCATGCCAACAGCCAACAACTATATAATATTTCTTAGATCAATATATTATAAATATTCTCATTTTTTATTTTTATTTTTTACTGTTTTAGATCAATTTCATCTTTTCAAACGCTAACCTTTTTATTTGAAATATTATTTTTTTTTATTTTATTCACTGATTTAGGAAGTGAAATTTGTCGTATTATATTCAATTATAATTATAATAGATTTACAAATGTAAATCGCATCACCTCATGACTAAGATAGAAATTAAATCATTATTTTTAATTAAAGAACACAAATGTTAATTAATATTATATTAATTAAGTTAATAATTTTTTAGAAATTGATATAATAAATAAATAAATTATAAAAAATTAAAATGAAAATTTAATTTAACACGTTAAATCAGCCTTTTATTCAATGCAGGAAATAATAAAGATAAAATCGAAAATTAAAAAAGGATAATAAAGTCCAGATTAAAAAAATCAACACTGATTAATAAAAGTAATAGTAACTTGTATTTTTTGTTCAAAATATGTAGAATTTTAAATTTAGTCTTAGAAATAAAATATATTATATTAAAAAAATACTTAATTATCTTTTGATTGTAAATACTTCATATTAATCATTTATACTGATTTATAAAAAGGATATTCTTTTTAATAATTATTTTATTTTTTGATAGGCAATTATATCTTTTTATTATTAAAAAAATTAAAAAAACTATTTTCATCAAATCCTAATTTAAACTCAAGATCTTAATACTCAATCACTAATAACAGTATTAATTAGACTAACATTTTTTTATCTTTTTTATTTTTTTAATAGAAACATGAATTGTCTCAATCTTATTAATAAAAAATTATTATAATCCTTCTTTAATTGTTGTTATGATTTGTTTTTTTTAATGTTAAATTTATCATATTCATGTCTCTTTTTTTACTAGAACATTAATTAACTTTCACACAAGCAAATTTAACACAATAAAATTTTCATTTTAGATCAATAAAAAATCAAATAAATTTTTGAAAAATAAATATTGAAAATAAGATAAAACACTAAAAATATTACTTAATCATACTTTTTTATTCGATTTATATACAATTAAAGAAATAAACTTTATAAACAGTTCAATATTAATATTAATTTTATTAATGATTAATTTTTATTGAGAATATTTTTAAAATTTTATAATTGTTATGTAATTATTTATTAAAAAAATATTCTCAACCTTGTTAATGTAATTAATAATGTTGATTGAGAAAAATATATTTAAAATATTAAGATAAAAATGAATACAATATAATAGGTATAGTATTAATTATATTTACTTTTTTTAACAACAATTATATTTAATAATATTTAATTTAATATTCACTGCCTATGTCAGTCACTCTTCGCACCAAAATCTATCTTTCACCACAATTTTTTTCCCCTTCTTTTAAGTCTCACTCTTTAGTCTTTTCTTCTTCAAAACAACATGTGTATCAAGTCTGCCTACTTATTTATATTATTGTGGACAACTCATTGTTTATGTTAAATTTTGAGGAACTAACCTTTAAATTAAAAATTTTAATGTATAAATTAAATATATATTTAAAAAGTATTTAATATTTTATTTCATTAATTTAAATGAATAGATTATTATAAAAATAATTTATATGTTGATTTAAATTTATATAACTTTTAAAATTTTAAAAAATTTATGAACTTAATTTATACATTAAAATTTTTTAAATTTATCAATTAAATCATTAAAATTTAAAATAAAACCATAAGTTATCGACAATAATAACTTTGTGAGGAATTACTCTTATAGTAATTTGATCACTCCTCCCTCTCTTTATATATATATATATATATATATATGAGGAAATATTTACTTACTTCATTCAATAACTCATTTTATATATCAAAATTTAATGATTTAACTGTTAAATTAAAAATTTAAAAAATATAAATTAAGTATGTAAAATTTTCAAAAAAATGCAAAAATTATTTAATATTTTACTTTATTAATTCAAAATGACGAATAATCATAAAAATCTTTTATACATTTGAATTTATATAACAAAATATCAAGTAGTTTTTGAATTTTATAAATTTTATATATGTATTAAAAAAAATTAATTCAATGTTCGAGTCATTAAAATTTGGAACTACAATGGTCTCATTATAATATA